TTAATTGTAGATATTTGCGATTGACGATTGATCATTTGTTAGTTGCGAGAACCGCATTGATCAATCGTTAATTGCTGTTTCGCAATTGACAATTAATCAATTGTCAATCTTTAAATGCCAGAACAATTAAATTTTGCCCAACACTGATGCGAAGTTGCGGCTTACCCCAAAACATTTTTATGTTACGGAAAATCTCCATTGGTTTATTTCCCGCCATAATATGTAGCGAATCACAGTCACACGTAATTATTTTGTTGTTCACAAAAATAATAGAAATTAATTTAAAAACGTGGAAAACGGACATTCCAAATTTAAAAAAGAATTAAACAGCTGCCTATGAACACACGAGTTATTATTTTATTTAAATGGTTGATCGTTATGACACGTAAATGTATGTTCTTTTAGACTGATATCCTTATTGTCGTGATATTTTAATATTTAACTAATTTAAATTAATGTATATATTTCTAAATTATAAATTTATGATATTCAAACGTCATTATCGTTATGTTTATTTTATGTAATTGTAAACGTTATTACGCATGAAATAAATAAAAAAATATTAAGTTCACTACTACACCTTCACTGTACACAGTACACCTTCACTGGAAATATTGGCTTTTCTCAACTTTAAAATAACGTATAAGAAACGTGCGCTTCTTAATTTAGCCTACCAGGAACTGCCCCAAGCTAATCACTTAGTTACTGAGATCGATTCACGGTGGATTACAGAACGTGTATCCTGCATCGTCAACATTTAGGTAGGGTTAGAGCGAAGGTGTTGGTTTATAAACTCGTAAACATCCCACTGCTGACAAGGAATTCCTCGAAGGAGAGGGTTTACGCCATAGTTCAACATGCTGACATTGCATAACTTTTAGTATACTTAGTACTTCCGTCTACATCAGTGGTGTATACCATCGGGTATACGCCATCGAAGGGGTAGGTACTTTAAAACTACGGACATCTTCTGCGGACGCGACCGATTTCGTTAATTCTAAAATGATTTAAATGAGTGAAACAAAATGCGAACGGACATAAAACAGGGATCTTTAATTATGAAAAACAAAATGTTTGGAGGCGTAGGTAAGCGACCCGTGTCAAAACGTAGGCGACGTATCGCATTTTACGATATAAAATGACAACGGGATGAACAAGTCGTGCACCTGGTGGTAAGCGACACGCATATCCAAGACGCTTATTGACAAGTCCCATTTGCCTGTAGTTTCACCAGCTACTACTATTCAAAACCACAACGCAGTAATGCTCACATTACTGCTTGGCAGCAGAAAGGGGTATGGTGGCTGTACTTCCTGGGCGAATCCTTTCACAAGGAGCTCTACTCCTATATTATATCTACTATAGCGCGAACTTTGCAATTTATTACATTTTTTTCCGACTTTGTGTTTATGGGCACCTAATTACAGCTCAGGAGCTACCAGGCCCCCGCGTTCTACAGGTTGGACGCTATTGGTCTACATTAATCATTTAATGTATAAATGGTAACCATTAAATCTGTCTAGCTGTCACGGAAGGGTTTATGAATGGTTTGTACTGAGAAATTACAAACTGGAACAGATGGTCCATTTAGACGATATTATTAGTTATATATCGCTAAGTTTTGTCACGTACACGTTTATATTAAGCTAAACAAAGGGTAATTTAATACGATCGCCATTGTGCTTGAATACTCAAAACCTTGTTAATACAACATGATTGCTTTAAGCCGTTCAACCTTACTACAGGAAATGTGATATCTGTGAACGCGATGTACTTCAAAAAACATTGCAGATAGGGAGTCATTATGATTTAGATTGCACGTCATACATAACGCCAGAAGTAAAGAATTTATAAAACATTGAATAAACAAATAAAACCACAAAAGGACACACAGTCACAGAAAACTTAAAAGACTGAATAGCTTATATTAAATACAGACACCGTAGACGAATTCGCTTTTACGCGAATATCAAATTTTGCACTTAAATGTCTCATTATGTGCGATTGGTTACACCGTTGCGTAGGTATACATACTATGTGATCGCATGATGACGTGACTATGGTCGCAGGATTTTCTGCTTTCTTTAATCATAACGTTAAAACACAGATGATTCCCAGCGCTTTCTCTTGGTTAGGCTCACTTTGATTTGATCTTAGTTTGGAACAGCGGTCACGTTCAAACATTCGGTGTAAGTTCACGAGTGTCAATCAGTACAACAAAAGTGTCGCATGCTATGAATGTACTAATATTGCAAGAACGTAAATTGCAAACTAATATCAAACCAAAGTGAGTCGAATCAAAAGAAAGCACCGGGAACTCCCCGTGCTTTGGTTAGAGTAACGGAAAAATCCCGCGACTTACGCAACTGTAACAAATCACGAATACGTATAGTCGCGTGTTTACATAGGATCGACTGCCTTTTCGGCAAGCTAATTCGGTCGGCGAAGTCGGCGAAGGCGGCGCAGGCGAGGCGCTGTTTATACTGAGTCGAAATCAACAAGTTCAATCAATCAATCGAGTATTGGCGACACTATAAATAAAGTTTACGAACAGAGACACAACAAATTCGCAACATTCTACGGTCATCACACGACTCGATATTTACACTGTACACAGTGCAACCAGTGTTGGGCAAAATTTAATTGTTCTGGCAATTAAAGATTGACAATTGATTAATTGTCAATTGCGAAACAATTAACGATTGATCAATTGTTAGTTGCGAGAAACGCAATTAACAATTGATTAATTGTTAAAATCAATTCAATTGAAATCAATTGCAATTAAAATCATTGATTGTTGAATGATTTCAATTGAATTGATTTTTTTATGATTGAAATTTAATTGATTAACGCCCAACACTGAGTGCAACCCGGTTGCAGTCTTCAGGGGGCAAGTGAAGGCACAGTGGTGCTAACTAGATTAAAACAAATCTCATTGTATTTCCACTCCATATGAAAAATCGACCCTTATGATACTCACTATAGAGTTGATTTCATTGGCAAGAAATTTATGGTCATAGCTCAGACAAAAGACCAATACCTCTGAAATAAGGAACCTAACATATTGAGTGCATTCACAAAGTCAATTAAGAGTCGATACTACCTCTGCTCGAATTCAAATTTTTCCCGTACTAATATGGTTCATTTCGCTTGAGTCGAAGGGCAAGGACAATGGCTTTATTTCAGAATTTGTTTTTTTACAAACGAAATTAAAGCTATTTGAAAAATGTATATCGTATACCATACGTGTCTATTCAGTTTAGTTGATATAAAAAAAAATCATTGGTATATGTGAAGTACATATTGAATACAGCGGTTTTCTTGTAAAATTTCGAGGTAAGTTTGTGTTCTTTTTCTATCATGAAAATTTTTAGAAATCATGTTTTCACACCGTATACTAATCAGTGTACATCCTCAATGTGTATGTATACAGTATACTATTCTCCAAAGTGAGCGCCATAACGAGGCATTTTTGCGCAAAATATATCATAACATACGTATATAGGAAGAAAAAAATGTCAAGCGTGCATAAATGCTTAGCTATTACCGGATGCTTGATATAAGTATATAAGTATATATTAAGGTACCTTAGGTTTCTTACCATGTCTCTAATAATGACGACGCTCTCTTTGCTGGCGGGCTTGCGGAACGAGAAAATAATCGGCATCTCGTACTGCCCCACATCGCCACATGCGAATGATATCTTTATTTCTCTCTGCAACGTTGCTTCTGCACACGACATATGGGAATAATAATTTAAAAGGATAATCAAGGAATTCCGTCTTCTCAGTATAAAAAGTCTTCTTCCCAAATAAAAAGGAATTACAATATCTTGGAAAGCTATAATTTCAAGTCCATCCTCCTAAGCCCCAGTGTACATCAAAATGTACATATTATCTGAGGTGATTCAGACCCAGATAGTAATATTATTCCTATGATCACGTAAACGCTTAGTCTACATTATAAGGAGAACGTCGCATTAAAATTTTTGCGCTATATATGATATTTTTCGCCTGCTTTCGTCACCAAGCGGTTACATGCTGGTCTGCCACATAGAGGTCCTGGTTTCGATTCCCGGGCCAGAAGGAATACTTGTATGGCGTAGATTCATTTCTTTCGTGAGTTTGGGTATAATTTGTGGTGATCTGTGTCTATAGCACCCATGACCTAGGGTTTCCCTGGTACGGAGCTGTGAGTGTGTGCGTTATGAATAATATACATGTAAGTAAGTACATGTATAATTAGGCGTTTAGTGCTTATCCCATTATAGTTTACAGGGCCTTAGAAGGACAGAACGACATTTGCAAGAATATAAGTTATGTTAAATGGTTTAGTAATAAAATAAGTTATTTTAAAACAACATTATACATGAACAAGTCTATCATGCCCTTAAAATAAACATTACTACCATTAGAGCCTGCATCTTAGATTACATATCAAATTACAACAATTGCTAAGTAACAGGACTGTTTCTTATGTGTCATTTGATAAAATGTACAAAGATGTACCTATGTACGATGAGTCATACAAAAAATGCGAAGTATCAAACTTCATTGTTGAAAATTATGACCTATTACTGAGTGTATTTAAGTATGTTATTGTCAGTTTTAAGTTACATTCAGGTTAGGACATGATACATAACAATTTGTTGCAAGAATTAACCCCGTATCAGTATCAAGCATGCTCCACATCGCAGGCCTGGCGAAATAAGGCCACATATGCAAAATGGCAACTATTTAGGAAGTGAGATTCTACAAAACAAATTAGTCGGTAACTTTTTGAAAGTCATAAAATTTTACATATTTTACTCTTATTTTTATGGTTTTCATGTGATAAAAGCACTTTAACGTTGGGTAACACGTGGTTTTATTATACTAAGAGTACTTTTTTATTTTTTTTATTTATGAATAAAAGTATGAAATAAAAGACTCGTTTAGTTCTAACTCAATGATGAATATTTAAGGTATATTTTGCTTAAAAATGGCCAAGTTAGCAACTTACTTGGTTTTATAATCAATGGCTTGCATCCAAATTGGAGGCCATGATCATTCATCTTGAAATTGAGTTTGGTGTGAGCCATTTGTATAAATACAACCATTATGTCTTCCGCTTTGCTGTCATTCTTGATTTTGAAATTGAATGTTATGTCTTCCTTCGGTCTTGCCTGCAATAACATCTCTGATCAAAGCTATCTTCTGTGCATAAAAAACACATCTACAGGATTATTAGTGAAATCTAACAGCCTAGGGCTATATTATGAACATCATAAACAACAACTTTTGTTTCATTACTTTTAATAATTCGTCAGATTTGGCTTTCGTATAAAAATATGTAAATAGATAGCTTTAAATGGTGATAACTTTATGTGGTATTAAAAGAAAGCGCCAACGTGAATACCAGTCGGATGCAAAACGTAGAAAGAAAATAGAACTCGAACCTGCGACCACGGGAATCCCTCGCTCTTCCAACTGAGATACCAGCCCCCGTAGCATGGCTACGCATGAGAGGCGCGACTCGCGGAATAAAATTGGAATAAGCGCGCCCTATTGGCTGTTTCAATCAGCCCCCGTAGCATGGCTCTGCATAATAGTCGCGATGCGCGCGATAAAATTGAAATAAGCGCGCGCTATTGGCTGCCTAAATTAGATTTGATTGAGACAGCCAATAGCGCGCGCTTATTCCGATTTTATCGCGCGCGTCACGACTATCATGCGTCGCCATGCTACGGGGGCAGATCCAATTTAGATAGCCAATAGCTCGCGCTTAATTCAATTTTATCGCGCGCGTCGCGGCTAGCATGCGTAGCCATGCTACGGGGGCTGATCGAGTTAGCAGGTTGACGGAATTCTTGTGTCTGTTATAGGTCTTTCTATTGAGTTTTTTCGGCTTTTTCGGCCGTGTGAAAAACATCTTAGAGGTTGTCAATTTTAAAATACCTTAACCTATCTTTGCGGGATGAAAGTCTATGGGTCGTATTCCAGAACTCTACTCAATGCTCAAGTCAGGACTTGAACAGACTTGAGTATGATTTCAAGCACTGGAAATACCCTAATGGCAAGGCCTTGAGTATGATTTTCAGTACTCACTGCAATACTCAAGTCCTGACTTGAGCATTGAGTAGAGTTCTGGAATACGATCCTTAGTCTTAAAACCCATTTTAGTGCTCAAATTACTTACAGAAATTTTGATATTCGGGTCTGCACTGTCCACTAGAGTTGTGAATGAAGTTTGCACACTGCATAACACCAAAATTTCCTTGCGGTTACCAGCAAACTGCTTCCTGTTACATTAATATCATACTACTGTGTGTATCAATAATTGGCATGGAGAGAACATGTTGAACTGTCACATTTATGTCATATACACATATCTTTGCACTTGACTTTTACAGTGTACAGACCCACACAAACTTATCATGCCAAACTGCTGTTAAAAATAGTTACACTAAGTTATGATTTAATTTTTCAATATAAGGTCAGACTGCAATTGCAAATTCAGCCCTATATTTACCCCTTGCCCATTTACTTTTTGTGAATGATATTAGGTTCAACTGGGGAATTTTGTCAGTTTTTAATTCAATATTATGTCATGTTTACTGAATTTGTTTATATACATATTATAGATTTTGTCTTAATTTAGTTTCTATTTCACTTTGAAAGAGGTCTGGCTAGTGGAAAATAATTTCTTTACAGTATAAAGGGCATTTGATTCTCTGGTGTAGGTGACAATGTTCTTGTAAACAGCACACACGTACAATCACACGCACGCACGCACGCACGCACGCACGCACGCACGCACGCACGCAC